ATGACTGTCTATGGCAGTCAAGTGAGGAAAACTTTTAAAATTCGGAAAGGGGTCAAAATAGGTAAGTACTATAGAAATGCATTGGTAATGAGAACATATATTATAATAACCTCTTTAATTATGTTCAACAATAGGATGATAGGATGAAGACTGAAGTTGATAGAGAAGTAGGTGAGAAAAAAAGAAGAAAAAGCTGAATATACATAATGTGTCCCAGAATTTTTACAAGGTGCTAGGCTGGATGTGATTTCCAATGGAATATGCTAGGTACTATTCTATTGGAGGTGATAGAAATATGTCATCTCCAACATACATATTCCTATGTCTCTTAAGTACCAAAGAAGCAAATCGGTTTTTCCTAGTGCATTAAACTCACTGCTTGTAAATTAGCATTTCCCTATAGCCATTCCAACATGTACAAGGCATTTCACTGAGAAGTGAAAATGTAGCGAACCAGCAAAGCATTTGGGCTGCACAACATCTGGCAATCAGTTTGAAAGACTTTTTTTCACTGAGTTGATTAGTAGTTCTGGTGTAACACAAATCCATCTTTATTGCCCTTCAGTTTACAATGACGGCAAAATCTGTTAGCGATAGTATGTTTTGGGGGCATGTGAGGCAACATGAGTTTTGGACAAATGAGCTCTGTTTAAGTCCATTCTGGAAGTGGCTAAGTTGACTGTGTATGTTTATTCGTGGGTGATAAGAAGATATTAAATGTAAAAAAATGAGATTAGAAATACTGCTGTATTATGTTATTTATTTAACATATTTGCTTAATCTTTAGAAAGATTTTATGTCAGGAACTGCCTCCAGGTACTAGGTAGCCCAGGATCTCCGATACATACAACAATAAACAAAATGGGCAAAAATCTGTGCCCTAAAGGGACTTAAATTTTGATACAGAGAGGAGAAACTAAAATAAACAAAAGTAAAATATATTGTATGTTAGGTGGCGAAGACCTCTGGGGAAAGAAAAGTTAAGCAGGGAAAGGGTGCCAGAATTTTTATCTGGGTGATGGGGGGAAGGGAAGATAAAACATGGAATAGGATAGACCTACTAAGAAGGTAATATTTGACTAAAGTCCTAAAATTAGTGTGGGATTAAGCTATGGAGATACCTGGAGAAAGAAAAAATCAAAACATTATGAAGGAGTGAGTGTCTGGTATCTTCTAGAAACAGAAGGATAAATATGGCTGGAGAGATAAATAAAGAAGAAAACAGTGAGAGATAATATAGACGTAAAGTGGAGAGAGACTCCAGACCATTGTAAGGTCTGTGTTGAGTGACTTTCAATAGGAAAAACAGATTCTAGAGTTCTAAGAAACATCTTAAAATCTTAAAATATAACATATTATTTATCCATTAGTCTATGTTTTCTTTTGAGGGTGGTGCTTCTACAAATCACTTTCCAGATCTTGGCACTGTCATAGAATACCTTTCTTCTTAGAGACTAGAGACATTGACTATGCACTTCTCTGAGAGTGAAGAGATACGTTTCGGGAGAAACACTGAAGGCAGTCTTTGTGCCATTCAAAAAGGCTGATAGTAAGAACAACATGGAAAGTTGAAAAAATGTTTTCCAGAGCTCAAAGAGAAAGCAATGGATTGAATTCAGTTTCTGTATTTTCTTAGCAAAACATTTCCTAGGATAAAGAAACCTTTCACACGAAAATTTTTAATATATCTCAAAATATTGACTCCCTTGTAATTAAAAAACTGCCCTATAAATAATACCTCCTCAAATGGAATATGCTTCTTTGGACAAAGAAAGAGGAGAAATGTTGAAGAATATAAGCTCTGTGGAGGATCTTCCACATAATAATTATTATTTTTTTTTACCATCCAAATTATTGTGGTGGCTTTTAATTGCCTTCTTGAATATTCCCAAGGGTCTTCTTAACTGGACTTTATATATTAAACTGGCTCACAGAAAGAGTAAAGAACGATGGGTAAAAAGTATTTGACAACACTAACTTAATCAATGGTGGCCTCACCTGTTGTAGAACCAGTAGATAATTTTTTATAGTATGCAGCCACAGGTCTGGAAACATGGGCTTTTATTGTGACTATACTGTTAACTACCACTTTACTATTCTAGATCTTCCTTTCCTCACCTGTAAAATAAGCAGTTGGATATAAAATAACCACAACTTTCTTTTTAAGTGATCTATAAAAATCAGCTGCCATGGGTAGAGTTCTGTCCAGCTTCTCTAATAAGAACCATGCTTAGTAATCCTTTAGTGTTAATTTACCCAGAGATGCCACTTTCACAGCATTGTACCCACTCATTTTTCTCCCACAGCCGTTACGAACAGACCACAGTACTTCTCCCTATCTGGAAGTCAGAGTCATAATCTCTCTCTCTCTCTTTTTTTTTTCTGACAGTGTCTTAGGCAATCATAACTAAAATAATGGGAGATGGCACTCAAGTTGCAAGCAATTTGCTACTTATCATTAGGGGCATGGATATATTGAAAGCAACAGTTCTTAGTATAGCTAAGAAGAACACTTACATCCCATCAGCCCATTCCTCCCATCTTTAAAACATTATAAGATGTCATGAGTTCCACCAGCATAAAGCAGTTGCTGATACCCCAGGCATAACCAAAATGGATCAATTAGCTTTTCAGTTAAAGAAGCCCGAATGTATAGAATTCATTTCCCTTCTTTAGAAAGTCTGCTTCTGTTCTGAGAGAAAAGTCTTCCATAAAAGTAACAAACTCACATGTTCAACAAGTAGATATATTAGTGATTTCTTGATCTTTGTCACCCTACCCACTTATTTTCTAAGTATCCAAATGTGTAGAAGCTTCGACCAAGAAGCTGTGTTTGTTTCAGTTCTGATGAAAAGCCCTAACAATGTTATTAGATAACTGTGATAAATTTTAATCTGATGACAGCTTGTGACCCACAAATTGCTGTTTAAAATTAAAATGAGTTTAAAATGAAACTGGCAGAGAACTACAATATTAAACTTGCAACCTGCTCTGATAAAACACTAGTATAAATCACTATATTAAATATAAATACAGTTAATTTTATATAGCATCTTGCAATTGAAATATAAAATGCCCTTAAATGCATGGCCTTATTAAATTAAAATTGGTTGATTAATCTTACTTTTTAATCTTTGTTTTGCAAATTAAAAAGTTTAAGTAGAGATAGATTGGATTGCTTTTGGTAATACACCCTTTGGCAGAGCTCCAGGTATAATCTAGGGCTACAGGCTTCTAGGTTTCTCTTTTGATGAGCAAAAGTCCTCTATTTTCCTCACCTCAAATATTCATCTACAGTAAATTAAGACATACTTTTCACATGCTTAATTTTATTTATAATGTGTAAGGTATAGTTACTCAAGTTGTGTTAAATGTGATCTTTAAACTTTTTTATATGTTAGTTTTGAAAAACAACTACACTGATATGGTTGGCAGACCAGCTAATTATTGCTAACTTAGTAAGAATTGATATTTTTCTGTAATGAATGTTTGTATCAGTCTATTATTCAGCAATACTGTAAATGAAAGTCAACCCAATGTATGTGTTTTCATCCCACATTTCAGCATTGAAGAATTGTATGTGGTAATGAAATAATTAAGTACAGTTGTTTGCAAATAATTTAATAATCAAATCATAGCTATTTTCTGGTTTTCAAAATGTACTAAAGAACTATTGAAAAATCCACAATATCATAATTATAACAAGTAATGTGTGTATTTAATAATAGCTGTAATAATCCTATGCATTATTTGCTCAAAATATTCATGATACATTTAAATAATAGCATTAGCTAGAATAAGAAAGTACCATATCTCACTCCCACTATTGCACACAGAGAATAAAATTCACCCACTCTTTTTAAAAAGATGCCACAAGGATTGTAATTGCAGAACAATTATTTTTACTCATTACTCCTAGAACATAGTATACACTCAGCAAATGTTGGTTGAAGAAATGAATGGATATGTGTGATTGGATGAGATGCAAACTCAGGGAAAATGCCTAGTCTCTGGTTGTTACAGGACTACTGCATGGACAACTGCTGTCACAGTAAGGTTTGTAAAATGTCTCTGCCATATTTTACTTTGGTTCATGTGTGTGTCATAATGATAAGGAATTCAGCCCAGCAAGTCTCTCTGCATTACATAGAGGTGCTATGTATTCAAAAAAGCAGGGACACCACATGTAATATCTCTCAGGTACTTTTCAAGGTTTGCTTCTACACGAGACTTGATATTGATTATGGTGCTTCAGATCTATTTCTATTTGGGAGCAGTCTCACTGTTATTCTTTGTTACACCTCATCAAATCTGTCCTAGGGACAGTGCCTACCCCAGGGTTGTAAGCTTTGGAACTGTGATTGGGTTTTTTCCAGCCCCCGCGTGCCAGCGGACGCTAGCCATGGTGCTGAAAGAGACAAGAGGATTCTATCTGAAACCTTTCCTTCCTCTTACTGGTTTAGAGAATTCGAGTGACAAGAGCAGGGTCCAAAGGAGCCTGGAGCAGCATCTCTAATGTGAACCACGTATTTCGGTCTTTTGGGCGGAGATGTGGTCCATCAGGTTACAGGCAATGCCTCCCTGTGAGCGTTCGCTAGACCAAGAGACCTTATGAATGTAGCCGCTGCAGTAGAAAAGGTTACATCCAGCAGGATGCCTTGTCCCTCTCCTGAAAAATTGACATTTAAGTGCATAGCCTAGAAACAAAAGCAGGGAATCTAGACGGAGGGGAGGAGAAGGGGGGAGCAAACCTGTATTCATATTGAAAATGTTCACTATTTTCGCATAAGATAAAGAATCAAGGGCTAATTTTAGCTTAAGTTTCCGGCCTCAGTTTTCCAACAGGTGCACGACTCCCTCACCCCTTCCCTGTCAGGTACTGTCCTGCTTTACCTTCTTAGAAAGGCTTCCTTCGCAAGGCAAGCTTTTCCTAGGGTCCTAAGCATGTGCAGTTTCCCATCTCACGCACAGCTCCGGCTCTACGCCTGGCAACCCCTTACCTGCAGCATGAAGATTAAGGAGCAGGCACAGCGCAGGGAAGCCGACTGCTCTCCGCATAGCGTGTGCATTGAGAGGTGGAGGAGAAACTCCACCACGACCCCACTTTAGGTAAAGTGCTATTAGAAAGAACCACCGCCAAGGGTCTTCTAGTCTCCGGGATTCGTTCGCAGGTCCTCGGCTGGGGTTTGCAGAGCAGTCAGTCTGTGGCGCTGATAGAAATGAGCACCAGCTTCAACCACCCTAAGACAGGGAGAGAGGAAGAGGAAGAAGAGTAGGAGGTTGCGGGGAAAGGGACAGAAGCACTCAGAGGCGGCAAATGCTTGGCCTTCCGGGGACCCAGCAGCCAAGGCGGAGACGGCGGGGTGGACTCCGCGCCAGCCCAGCAGCGCAGCAGCACGGCAGCCAGTGCAGCTCGAGCAGCAGCCCGGACGCGCTGCGGCTACTGAGCATGCCCAGCGCCGGCCCTCACGAGGCACGGGAGTTTCAAAGTGAAATTCCGCTTCTCCGGGTCTTAGCGGCGGCTTGGAGCAGAGTAGGCTCTACCGCTGGGGTGGGTGGTGGTGGTGGTGGTGGTGGGGTGCGGAAAGCGGGAAGTGCGGGGGAGGCGCTAGCCGTGGTTACTAGGGACCCAGAGTCCATCAAAAATCCGAGGGTGGTATGTGGCAGAGTGAGAGTCAATGGGGGCATAGCCGGAGGAGGGAGTTGATGACAGTGTCAACCGTGCCACCCACCTTACTCTTTACCCAAGTCTTGATTACACGTGGACCGAGCTCACTGCCAGGAATTGGCATGTGCAGATTGACCAAATTCCCAGGGCTCGCCTACGGGAACAGAGGTGTCTTCCACCACTGCTGAGCTTTCTTGCTGCTTGGGGGAAGCGTTCCCAAGGCAGCGTGCTTGGTGTAAGCAGTAACCATGTATCTCGGGGGTGTCTTCGTCCTTCCTACAGCTTGCCCTTCTTTGCTTCTCTTTCCATTCTCTCCAGCTCAATCCCTGTATTTAAACTTTCTTCTGACTCAAGTCGAAAGTATATGATCACAGTGACAGAAAGAAGCGAGGCCGTATTTTTAGACTAGTAGAATATATCCGTGTAATTGAAGCAATAGAAGGCACCTTTTAGTTTCATGGAACTAATTTTCTTGAATTGCACCCTGTACTCTTTAAGGTGAAAGATAATAGATCACTTCAGTGCCTGGGCTCCTTCTACCCACCTCTGTGTCTCTAGGGAGGCTACCATAGTCTGCCTAATGTAGCTGGTTTTTTATCCCCTCATCTAAGTCTTTGCAGTGTGGAGAGACTTAGTCATGGCTAATTGCTGCTAGTCAAGAAGTCCCTCCCTAGACTTCTCTCTTTTAACTTCCCAGGGCCACTGCCCTTTCTGCCTCCGTGTCTTCATGGATGCTGTTGCCTCTTTCTTATTTTCCTTCACTTGCATCATAATCACACTAGAGTTTTACAAGGTTTAATGTTGGTGTCACTTTTCCAGAAAGCCCTAACTCTAGATTACAGTGATCTTTCTCTTCCATAACACTTGTCTAGCAGTGCCTCATATTCTTCTTTCAGACAGTTCATTTATCTGTGGTTTGTCTGACAGCACATGGAAGGCTCCATAAGAACTGCTGCATTTTGTATTCCATTAAATTGAATAAAGTTGTTCTAGCCAAATGATTCGGGCTAATAAGTGCTCATTGGGTTGAGCCTCATATCTCATTCAGTGCTTTCTTTCTCCATCCTCTGTGAATTGAGACAACTAATGGGAAATAGGCTATCCAGCAGAGCTTAAATTAGGTGGGATCTCATAAGATCAGAGGGCCCAAGTGGTATCATTTATTTCTTTTATAATTTATATCATTTTCAGCTCTGAGAGACGAGGCCAGGTGGAGAAGGAGATAATGAGATACACCTTGAATACCTTGACAGGTCTTCTCTGCTGAACATAGAGACATGTGCAGTCCTTCTTAAGCAACGTGCTCCACCCCCACTCCACCATAGGTGTGGCACACTCCATTTCTGTGGCACTATCATTTCACCCCAAACCACTCTAAGCTTCAACCTCTTCTGCTATTCCTGATTCACTGTCCTCCAGTTTACTTTGCCCATATCACTTTCTAACAAACCAGAATAATTACTTATAGAATCTATTGTTTATTATCTATTTCTCTACTCCCACCCAGAATGGAATCTGAGCTCCGATGATGGAGAACGTTGATGACTTTATTCATTGATGCATCCCAACTCCCTAGAGCAATGCCTCATGCAAAATAGATACTCAAAAATGAATAAATAAAAAACAATTAATTGACAAAGTTCAATTGGCGATTAACTTAACTCCTTGAAATTCTTACTGAATCAACCTTTGAGATAATTTATTTAGCAGTCTGTAAATCTTAGAAGAGTAACTCTTTTCATCTAACATCCAGTACTAGAACTGCTGCAGGGCTGGATATTAGGGAAAAATAATTGTAGCCCACTTATTTTCTTGTTTCCTAAAAGAACTAATTATCAAACTTACATAGGTCTCCAAGAATAAAAGGTACCTACTTATGGTAATGAAACAATGCTGCAGTAATGTTCTGAACCCATTCCTTTTCCATGGATAATTCCAGCATTTATTGGTGGGGCATTTAAAATTTCTATTATTATAATTGACTGTGACTTTGCCAACAAGCAGCCTGCTAGCAACGTATTTTGCCCAGGGCTGCAGGTAGCTGAAGTATTAAACTATGCATGAAAATTCCTTTAGCAGCAAAATTTTTCAATTTCCAATTTGGCTGGATATACGATTAGAATAGTTCAGCATGGTAAAAATAACCTTGAGTGGGCTGTAATTTTGTGACTAGACATTCCTTATTAATTTACTTAAAATGATAAAGGAATAAAAAATGTCATATTCCTATGTGAGTCAATCCAGTATCATACTTTTAATGGCAATTCACTTTTTTGCTAATTGTCTGTTCCTGAAGTCAAACAATGAGTGAAAAAGTCAACCACTTAGCTCATTCAGAAATATTCTCCATGAGTCCATAGGTGCTGTTTTTTCCTTAACTGTGATCTAATGCTAGTGAAGGTGACTTGGTGTTTTGGAAACAAAAAGCTTGGTTAAAACCCTGCCTCAGAGTTTTAAAAAGTTAGTTCTAATTCAAAGAAGCATGGAAATTACTATGAGAGAACCCTGCAAATTAGTACTGTAGTGGCCTACAGAGCTATATCATAAAAGAATCATTTCTATTTTACAAGATAAATAAAAAATGTACATGAACTTTTCCTCCACAGAAGATGCATAATTTCTTTTTCTTTTAAAAATTTATTTATTTTACTTTAGGTGCATGCTATATCCGGCATTTCTCCCCATGTTAGCCATCCCCTCCCTCCCTACCCCTCGCTGTCTCTCCCTATCCCCCGACAACTGCCCCCAGTGTGTGATGCTCCTCTTCCTGAGTCCATGTGTTCTCGTTGTTCAACACCCACCTATGAGTGAGAACATATGGTGTTTGGCTTTCTGTTCTTGTTGTCAGTTTGCTGAGAATGATGTTTTCCAGATTCATCCAAGTCCCTACAAAGGACATGAACTCATCATTTTTTATGGCTGTATAGTATTCCATGGTGTATATATACCACATTTTCTTTGTCCAGTCTATCATTAATGGGCATTTAGGTTGGTTCCAGGTCTTTGCTATTGTACACAGTGCTGCAGTGAACACATATGTGCATATGAGGTGAGTGTTAAGGAAAATTCATGCAAGAAAGAAGCCTTTCAGAGCCTATCTTCAAAACAGATTTAATCATTATGAGCATCCATATTTACTTCTTTATAAACGGCTGAAAATTATTCATGTCAGCCATCTTTCCTTAAGACACTTTAAATTGAGAAATTAGATCTATTTATTGTAAGAATTTCCTATTTAGGTTACTATTATTTAAGTAAAATTATGGTTAACTCTGATTGTGCTTCCTGTGTGCCAGGCCCTATTCTAACCATTTGGATGTCCTATTTAAACATTATAATATTTCTATAAGAGGGTACTATAATGATCTCATTTAAGAGATGAGACAGTTGAGGCACGGGGATATAACTTGCCCCAAATCAAGTAGTAAGTAATCAGTCAAAAAGTAAATTGATAGAATTAAGATGTATGTTTGATAATTTGACATCAAACTACTGTAATATATACTACTTCTTGTAACATGCACACACACATTTAGTTGTAGGTGGCTCACTAGAATTAGATGATTAGATAGGGCTGGGAAGAAGATACCTGGACCCACAGTAAAGCTCTGTGGTAAGGAATACTCATAGGAGGTTGTCTCTAGGAAAATGAGAGACACTGCTTATGGCAGTGGACTCTGGGTCCTAGCATCTTCTGAACAAAGATAGCAAATAAAGTCATGCTTAGAGGAACTGTGTTAGAAAGACGCTTAAGATAGAATGGAGAAGAATGGAAAAAATTATTTCTTCTACAGAGGATAGGACCAGAGGAGGGAATAGGTAGCAGGCAAGAAACTGGTAGACAACAGGAAATGAACTGAGTCTGGCTGGATAAGTAAGTTCTAACTGCTCTACATAAAGAGAAAGGCCATGGAATTGTGTGAGCCAGTGGCAGAAATATCGAACAACAAAATGGATTCAAGGAACTTCTGAACATGTAAGGGAACAATAGGTAACAGTGATCAACACCTTTTTAAGATTTGTTCTGTGCTTACCCTTTCCCATCCTTTATTCAGCCACTTTATTAATCCCAAAGTCTATTTCCTTTTGTCTGAGAGCTATCTTTTATAAGAGGAGAAAAGAAGGAAAATAATTTCTTTTTACAAAATAAATAACTAATGTGAATTAAGCTATATTCAGAGTGGAATGACTCAGGATGAAAGGAATGAATTGGAAATTCACAGATGAAAATATCATGTTCAGGTATATAAATTCACCATTATTATTTTTAGCATTTTCCCAGCCATAACAAGAAGAATGATCTACCCTTCTGCATAAGCATGCTGTGAAGAAAACAATGAAATAGCAAGGGGCAATAAGAATAGGGGAGGAAAAGCATTAAAATTTCAAAACTGTATATTATCACATTGAACTATCACAAGAGTTGTGTGAAGTATTATTTTCCTTTTGTAACAGAGGAGAAAACTGAAGTTCAATGAAGCTAGTAATTTGCCTATAGCCATCCAGCTGGTAAAGTCGTGAAACTGGGATTAGAACTTAGGTATGGTGACCCCTAGCTCTATGCTGTTACAAGCTGTATTGTACAACATCCCTGCTTAATGATAGAACTTATTTCAATACTTAAATGGAAAAGTGTTCTTATCCCAAGACAGACTTCAAGATGGATAACAACAATTACATTTTGTAACTTAACACAGTTGCAGTTTTGTTGAATTTTTCTATTTAAAGCATTTGATACACACCACACACACACACACACACACACACACACACACACACAGAGCAATATGTATCCTAAGGAAAAAAAAATAGGTACCTAAAACAGGCAGATATAC